ATTACCCTTGGTGCAGCTGAATAGCGTTGAAGAACAATGATGTGAAATAGTTGTCTGCTGCTTATAAAAAATTATCTTTTCTAATATAGCTCAGCTAATTTGAAACGACAGTACTCTGTTAGTTAAAGAGTCTTGGATCTTTACCCAGAATCCGTTCCGTTGAACGATTGACTGCTGTTGGACTTCGAGCTGCTACTTTATTTTTTGCTATTTAACCCCTTTGACCGTTTAATGTTGTGTCTTTCTCATAAGGATCTCTACCATTTTTGACGTATTCAAGCATGTTCTTCGATCTGATACCGGAGATTATTTTTTTTGCCTTATAATTATGACTTTCTGAGAGAAATTAGCGACTTATATTCTTGGTCGATCTTCGATCTTTTGACGAGGGAAGTACAGACCTCGGCACGAATATTAATCTTGAATGAAAGTTTCAGTTACAAAGGAGTTAACTCCGCCTATCACAGGTTCATTAATGAAGAATTTTCATGTCTGGGGCTATCAGTATCTCATATTACAACAGACGTCGTTGCATATGCGATTTTAACTGGTACTGTTATTGTACGTTTAGTTTAAACTGGATTTCAAGTTACATCGGCGCAAAAGTAGTGTCCATGGAATGCGTCATAAAGTATGTTTTTTTCTTTAGAAAAAGCGTATGATCGAAAAATCAACCGAAAACGAAGCGGACTCCGCAGAGGAGGTCCTCAAGTCCAAATGCGACGTAAAGTCATTTTGTTTATTTTGTAATTTTGTTTTTAAAATTTTCATTCAGGAAATCCTAAAGGGGCCGGTAACCGCCGAGACATTTTTAGCCATCAACTGGGCACTGAGAGGATTCTGGTCGAAGTATTTGCCAAACACCTTCTTCTTGGGACCGTCACCTTCCGAAGCTGGTTTGAAATTGCCGGTATGTTGCTATAATATTCAGTTACATGCTAGAGGGCGTAAATCAGCTGATCAACTTTGAAATGACTCATTACATGAGCTAATGTTGTAACTTTAGCCTTCGCGCGTTGCGCAACTCTCAACAAGAAAATGAAATGAGAGTTGGTGACTTGTTAGAGAAAAAGAAGTCTGTAAGACAAGGCATTAATCAGTGGCATTGCCACAATTAGTTTTGAAATCATTTTCTACTTCACTGACATGTCAACCATGTTTACATTAGAGATTGACCAACGAAGCTATGACCAAAGAACTGTGATCCATTATCCAGGCACTACTGGGTCTTCGCCAAGGCAAAATCATGACATGAACCCTGTACAATTTAAGTCTCGTTAACTATATGGACGACAGCCGCGCCAAATTTGGTTTTGAAGTATTTCGCTAGGTAGTTGCGGATATTGTTCTGGATTTAACATTTCACAATTGTCATGTAATGATACTGTAAAATTGTTTAAGTAATAAGCAAAAGGCGCGTATCTAATTTAAGTGTAGTATCTGTGAACTTTAATTTTAACTGACTGCCTCGTTCGTTTCAAATCTTCGACAAGGTACATATTAATGATTGAAGTTTAAAATTCTTGGGGTGATAGCTTAGTGACCAAAAATAAACCCTGCTAATGTGAGTTTTACTAACTAATACTAGTTTTACTGCTAAGTTTAATACCGCTGATAAGAATAAGTTTTTCCTTGTCAGTACTCCATGATTTACATGGCGAAGCAGGTAGTTTAGTGACTTAACACATTACCTTCGTGGAGTTTATACTGACGCCGAATCGCACTTCGAATTAGTCGATCAGAAACGCTTGGTTTTCATCTCAGTACCTACAGCTAGGTGATAACCACGGAGTACAGTCTCCTCCTTAAATCAGTAATACTGCTCAACATATGTGGTTTGATTTCGTTAGGCATGCGAATCTTCTCCTCGATAAGAGCGCGCGTCCTGCATTGTTCTACTGACGCATAGATAGTCACATTTTGGGTTTAAACAGTATTCCTGTTCCAGCTAGCGTGACCCGGCTTTCGGATGGTAAATGATGTACATAATCCAAGCCCTTCCTCCTCTTTGTGAAGATAAATGCATTCTAGAATCCATCAGTTCATTTATTCGCAATTGTAGACGGCGTCTTTGTTGAATTCGTCAATTAAAGATTCCGTAAATTCACATGATTGTTGCTTCATTCGCCGTCTCTTCTGGAATTTATAATCGGTCTTCATTTCCCGCTTTTTGATATAATGGTCATAAATTTATTTATTTATTGTTTTTAGGAGCTTGACAAACTGCTTATGAAGCCGCTCGCTTACGTTTTGTGCGGGGACCGAGGTGTAATTTACGAAGCGCTCACTTTAAAAAGCCGTACGTCGACAGCCCACCAAGAACGTCTGTGTGGTCATCAATTCAGCAGCGGAGAAGCAACTTACACCTGCAGGTTTGTTTCTCATTGATCAACTTTTGTAAACGTTAATTATTTTAGCGCATTTTTCATGCTGTGTACATGTGACTCAATAAGTCGTATTGATAAATGATAATGCAATCGTTGCTGTTAGCTGATTCCTTGACTGTACCCAAGTTGACTTGTGCGAAACTACTCGCGCAGTTTTACATGTGATAATATAACATGTTTATGACTTTTATCCTAACAACGGAGTGTCTGTTATGAATACCTGCTTCGAGCATCGAAATGTTCATCGGTATACGTGGTATAGAGAAGCTTACGTACGGAAGTCGCTGTTGGACTTGATAATCGTATCATGCGACTACGATGCGATACTTAGTAATTAGTGTTCACTTTAAGAGATGCAGATAACTGGTAACCGATCAATAGAAAATACTTTGATGGAATCCTTAATCCTGAGCAACCGCAGGAAATTTCGCCAAAAGAGCAGCAGGCAACCGATATTAGTCCTTCAGTAAATGAATTCGTAGAAGATGTAAAAGGCTTGATAAGTGGTAGAGTTGCAGGAATCGATGAAATCCCTTCTCCCTTCTCCGAGATGCTTAACGCCTTAGGCAAATTAAGCGTGTTGTGGCTAAGAAGTTTGTGTGTGTTGAACTGCAGTAGCTACTGGGAATACTCAAGTGTATTGGATGAAGGGGTTGTAATTCGCCTGTCAAAGAAGGTTGACTATAGGGTGTGCTCTTATCGAAACTTTACCTTACAGCGCTTCCCAGGAAGTGTTTAGCAAAGGCGTTGGAAAAGAGATGTATCGGAATAGAGGACTCTGAGATCGAAGAAATGCAGTGTAGCTTCATTTCAGACTGAAACACCTAAAAATTTTATCCTTGAGTTATTTTACTGAACTAGGAATTATGGGTTAATAATTCCATAATTATTAACATTGACTATGAATTTTGGCACGATTACCATGCTGAACTGGTTTCCATAGTAACTTCATATGTTAGTTTGTGAAAACTTAAGTTTCTAAGTTGTTTCAGCAAGTGATTTGATTGTTTTCTAGAGATTGCGCTTTGGATCCGACGTGCGTCCTGTGCTATGAGTGCTTTTCGAACAGCGAACACAAAAACCACAAGTACAGGGTGAGTGTTCGTTGTCCGTTTGACTAGTGTCAAACTTCAGTCGACTTTCGTTTTAAAAACTGTTTATCTGCTCATAGGTTCGTTCGTTCTGGTTTCACTCTTAACTTCTCTGTTTCTCATTTTGATTACTTCACAGTTAATGTAGTAGGGACAGAATGGAAAGTAGAACGAGAGGGCGACAGATCCTGACGGATTTCTGCCATCATATGCCATCATATTTGCCAACGGAACACAGCTTGTATTTCTTTTTATTTGGGAAATTCTCGAAACTTCCAGCCGTAAATTGTTTTTGGAATATTGCATTTGTCAAGCAGCGGTCAGTTTGACG